GAAATTGAGATGATTTTAAAATATTAACTTAATATAGTCCATAGTTCATGCTAATTGATTTTATAAGGCCAAATAATGAAAAATTAAGCTTGGGGTACATTATTGTCTTAGTAAGCTTGTAAACCAACATAGAAAAAAAAAGACATTAATAAAGGATTTATATAAACTATTGAGTCAGATTTTACTAAAGAGTTGATCATCCATTTAAAATTAGGTGAATTTTTTACTAGCATTGGACCATTTATATACAATTCAAAAACAAATAGTTAAAAGGATTAGCCTGGTCATGTATTTGATTTTATTTATTAAATTGCTTTGCTTAGTTTATTGAATCCGCATAGTATACAATCAATCATATATTCACCAGCTCTTAATCCAAAATTATTTTTACATTTAAAATTTATTTTATTTATGATAGACACAATAGAGAATGATCCAAGCTCTTCTACATCAGTGCCTACCATGTTAATACTCGAATATTTGGCTTCTAAATAGTGGCTAATCGCTGATTGTTTTTCTTTCATCTACTTATTAGAGTATTAAGATTTTTGTCAAGTCTACAAGGGATATGTCGTGAGAATGTAAAGATTGAAGTGATAATTATTCTTAGCTCTTCCATTTTAATATGCTTGATTGATAAATTATGAACTCAAGCTTCAATCAAAATTTTTTATTCTTTTATATTAAGCTAAAGTTTTATATTGTGCCCTTTTAATTTTTGCAAACTCCTTACTAGAAGCAATATAAAATTTTACATGTTCTTATATTTACATCAAGTTAAGAATGCAATGTGTAAAATTTTAGAAACTTGAGTGCTATTTTGGTTGCCATTTGTCTATTGATTTTTTTATGGGTCAGAGGTGTTTATCAAAATGTCTCTTTGGTGATCCTTTATACTATAGGATTATATGTTTATAAGTTTTGCATTATGCATGTATTTGATAATTAACAAGAATGGATGGTGATAAGTCTTATATTAAGTTTAGCACACATTTCTTTGAGATTTCTTTATCTATGAATAAAAAAGAAAATCTCCATCATCTTGAAACTTAATTTACAAAAAACTTAATTTAGATTAATATATTATAGTTTCATATTATATGCATTTTTTTCCTTTTCAAACAATTGATATTTTAAGGCATCTCATAAAGCATGATATTAACTATTTTGATTTGGTATAATTTGTTTAAACCTATCATTTTTCTATATCTATGACTATAAAAAATTTTGTTGAAAGGTTTTCTTTGTTATTGATATGACCAAGATTTGAAAGATGTTAGCAATCTAGACGGCATACGGTGAGAAAGGATCTTATCATCAGTGACAAGTTTAGCATCTTGTCAGATCATTTATAAGGTATGAGTATTTTGAATTTATATATTTGTTAAAGTATGTATGCAAAATTACATATATTGGATCTAATATTTTTGTTCAATATAAAAATAAAATTATGCATTTTAAGTTACTAAAAAAGTACTTTTTTAATTTTAATTCTTAAAAAATATTATTTGCTTTTTTAGTTAAATGCTCATTTGTTTTTAATTTTGAAAGGTTAAAAAATAAATAGAAAAATAATTACCAAGCAATCTTCTAAAGAAATAAAGTAATCGATAGATTGAGTTAAGAATTTTAAGTTTCCTAAGCTAAAATATTGTTGAGTTTTGTGTTTTATGTTATCGTAATGATTATAATATATTAGTTGATACAAAGCATAAAAAAAAAATTATATTATCCTCATGCATTTGATATTAAATACTTGCGGTAACGCGTGAGCTAGTTTACTCTAATTTTTACGGTAAGTTCTCGTAATAAAGTACTACTTTAATAAAACTATTTTATTTCGACGGACGAAATTCACGGGGTTTGCGGCCTGCGGCGACTGTCAACCTCCTACTCCCGTAACGTGCAGCTGACCTTCCAAGCACGATTTCTTGAGATATAACTTTTTTTTAAGAAAACGACAAAACATTACTACTCACTTTCCTTTACAGAGCGTGTCTGGCACTCTCGAATCTTTTGTTGAGAAATATGTGGATTTTAGGTTTTAGCTAAAGGCTGCGTAGTTGAAGAGAGATTTCACTCACAACGTACAATTTCCTTAAAAGGCAAGCATCTTGCAAATGGTGGCTGCTGCGATTCGAGATTGAACCCACGCCTCCTCCAATGAGCAAGGTTGAAGTAGCATCTTTTCCCTTCAGAGTTGTAGTAGGTCCCGCACGTCAGTTACAGGGGTAATGATTATTGATTAAAACAAAATTGTTAATATGGTAAATGTACATTCGAGAAGTGTATAATGACTAATCAGCATGTTGTAATAATGACAGTTGGGTGATTTTAATTTTGACATAATATTTTATTTATAATAATAATTGATCATTTTATTAATAATTTTTTATGTATTAGATTAAAATATTATTTTATATAATAATTTTAAAGATGTGCTAAAATTTAATGATCAAAATAATATCAATTCTAATAATAAAAAAAACATAAATATGAAAGAAAAAAATCTCAAGTCAAGGGTTTTTCCTGATGATAGTATGTTATAAACATTATATAACAAATTAGTTTCATTTTCGAAAAAAAAAACAGTAAAAGAATATATTATTCTCATTTTAAATACATACTTTATTTTTGTTTAAATAATTGAAGAATTTCACACGAAAATTCACCCAAAAAAGTACATTTCTCAAATGCTTCAACTATAAATTCGTTACAATGTGACGGCAATAAATATGAGATAAAGGTCAAAAATGGCATCTAGCAATAATATTTTTGCTGTACCAAACCATGAATGAGGCTGGCAAATGGACCACAAATGAGCCGACATTATCCCAAAACAAGTAAAATATTAAATGGTTCATTTTTTAACATTAAAGATCCAATTAATCAATCTCTAAAGGGTTTTTTTTTATAAAAAAAAAAATTTAGAATAGATGGATTTGTTTAATTTTTTAAGTTAAGGTAAGATATATCGTATTTAATAATTTAAAATAAATAATTATAAATTGTGTATTCGAAATAATTTCAATAAATAATCATTAGTAGAACTTGAATTAAGAGTTTTTTATCGAAAAAAATAAATTTTAACTAATTGAATCAATTATTTATTAGCATCTCTAAGGGTTTATTTGAATAAATAATCTAAATGAATGTGAAAATAGTAGTGATATTAAAATTAATTGTAATAATAATAAAATTAATTATTATAACAATAAAATTAAAATTAATAATAAATATATATTTAAATTAAATACAATAATAATAATTGAATTGGATATAACAATAGATTGTCCAACTAAAAATAATTAATTATTTGGAAATGAAACAACCATGCCGAACCTATGAAAATATCGTTACTGACAATTGTTTTCAATTTTATACTAAAGTAATAAAATACTTTAAATAGAGAAGTCGATTACCTTAAAAGACAATGAATCATTGAATCTTTTTCCTGTCGATTTTCAACTGAAGGACAACGAGATCAGAAGAATTCAATTGCATGTGGAGCACTATTCCATGGTGTAGTTTAAGCTCAGAAAGTGCATAAATACGATCATACTCCGACTAATATCCAAATGCATCTTAAAGTTAATTAAATTATTATTTAAAGTAACTTTATCAAATCATATATATTATTATATTATAACATATATAGACACCTAATAAGATTTATCACATAAATGTTTATGTGAACAAATTTTTAAAATAATATATAGGATAATTTTTAAAAATATAATTTTTTAATTACAAATTGAATAATATTAAATTTTTTTAAATATTAAAATTATTCAAATTATAATTACAAATCAATCTTAATCTATAGATATATTTTTTTAAAATTAAAAATTTGAAATATGAATTTTATCTGACTAATTTTAATTTTTTATCGGATAATCTTATTCTATAAAGTATTTAATTATTAAAATCTTTTAACACATTTTAAAACTATAAAAATTAAGTTTATTCAAAACTTTAAAAATTTCACTATATTCTTTTATTTTAATTTTTATCAAACAAAAATTATTAAAAAAATTCAAATAATGCTTTCATATTAAATCTCTAAATAATAAGATTTATATCCATTTTAATTCTAATTATCAATTTCATATTTAATAAATAGGTAAGAAATTTGATTTAATTTTTATCACTTATTATATCATTTTAATATTTTAAATATTAATTTAAAAATTATCTATTCAATCTTAAATGTAGTCAAAGAGTTATTTTACAAATAAAAAATTATAAATGTAATGCATGTGTTATATAACTTTTTTTTGTTTGGAATTCATTTGCTATTATAATTTATTCGTTCTGTTTGTATTTTTCCTTTTTTCATGGCATATTCTATTATTACAAGTTTGTTATTCTAAAAATTAATATTTTTTCACTTTATTTTTTTCACGCATCTCTTAGCATTTTTTATATTTTATACAAAATTATGGGAGTAAAAATATGTTTATATTTTTTTTATTATTTAATTTATCATTTGATAATATATATTTTGTTCTTTAAAAAAAACATATAATTTATTTTTATTTAATATAAATTTTAAGTGTATAAATATTATTACAAATAAAATAGTGCAAAGTGAAAATATATTATTTTCTTCTCATTATTTTAAAAAAATTATTTTTTATGACAAGTTAATCAAATATAAAAATTATTATATGTTATAAATTTTAAAAATTTAAATATAATTTTAAAAAACTAATTTATATGTATATATAAATAATAAATAAAATTAATAGGTGCATCACATAAGTCATAATATAATTAAAAAATTTGTTTTAGCGAAGCAAAATTTCGTTCTATAAAATTATAAATATTAGCTAACATTTTTCTAGAGATTAAAATTGCAACCTCTTTTGACACAACTAACACGGGGGCAGTTGCGTCGAGAAGAAAAGACGAAAGCAGAAGCAGACAAAACGCATGGCAATTCTCGTAATAACATTCCTAATCCAATGTCAAACCGAAGAGCTGATCTGGTAACAAAAAAGTTAGTAAAAATTAAAAAAAAAAAAATTGAAATCGGGTTTTATTTGTATTTGTATTTTTATTATTTCAGGTGATGACATAGATGATAGGGAGGCTTAGAGGTGGATGAAGTCAGGTAGCTTCTCTCTTTTTATGGCTTTTCTTCCTCGTCTTCTGCTTTCTGTCGAGATAAACGTGATTAAACAATTTCCAGAAGATTCGTCGGAGAATCAGTTCGGTCGGTGATCGGAGCTCTGGTCGCCGTTGGACGAGACGAGTTAGAGTTTTTTTTTTTTTTTGTTATTGTTGTTGTTGCGTAAGACAAAAGCGAGCGTGTTTGGATTGATAAGAAGAAAAGAGAAAATGAATGGGAATAACAATGGATTTGGGAGTGCGGCGACTGAGTATATAAGGAGACATCATCGTCATGAGACTGGAGAGAATCAGTGTAGTTCAGCACTCGTCAAGCGCATCAAAGCTCCTGTTCCTCTCGTAACTCTCTCTCTCTCTCTCTCTCTCTCTCTCCCTTTGATTACGTTTTCTATAGATTTGTTTTTCAACTCCTTCTCAAGATATTCCTCTAATCTCACTCATTTCTATTTCGTTTCTTCATTCTTTTTTTTTTTTTAAATTTTTTGTTGTTGCTTTATTTGGAAATTTTTATTATGCTCTTTTTATAGCTTTTGGATCAATGATTTTATTTTTTTTAATTTTTTTGTGATTATTTTTACATTTTTGCTGAGTGATATCCTTTTTTCAATGTTTGACTTTTGTTCTCGAGAAGGATTAGTCTTGGTCGCGGTGTTTTTCTTTTATATTTCTGGAAATCTTGTTTCTTTTGATTGAATTATTTGGTTATTCTTTTTACGAAAACAAAAGAAAGAAGATTGAATCTAATTTTGTACAGCGGTTTAGATAAACTTCCTTAACTCTCACTCACTGTTTTGTTGTTGAGATGAGAGATATGATTGAAAATTATTAAAATAGAATAATCACTAGTATGTTTTGATTTGTTGAGAATCTGACATTCAAAATTTGATCTTTTGCGATCGAAACAGATAACATTTTGATTAGGTTTAATGCTAAGGAGCAACTCAAAACTTAGAAAAAGTTGTTTGTTTCTTTGATTTTTTTGAGTGTTACCAAGTCCTAAATTTGAGATCCATATTTATTATCAATTCCATTTTGTGAAAAATTTTTCAATCTCTTTGCTACTCTCTTAAACCATTTGAACAAATTTGTTGTGTTTCTTTGATTGGGTTGTCCAATGGTTTTTCCAGGATAAATTTGTTTCCACAGTATGGTTGGTTTGTTTAAGAACAATGGGGTTAAGATTTAATTGAATTAAATGCAACTTGTCTTTCTTGGTTGTTGCATTTCCTAGAAACGGAATGACATGGGGCATATGCAACTTATCTTCTTGGTTGTTACTAGTTCAGGGTTTAAATAACGGTGGTATAGCGAAATAACGGTTACAATTTCGTGGTTGCGCCACTTACGCCAACGATATTGAGGGAAATTGGGGGAGAATTTTAATCTTGACGGTAGTGGCCGCAATCGGCCGTTGCAAAATTGAATAATGGAGAACAGCCGAAATATCGGCCTGTTATTCCCGCCACTCTGTTTTTCGTCCAAAAGTGGCAGGAAAAAAAATTTTTATTTCAGTTGTTCAAAATTGATCCGAGCAAAGCCCAAAAAGCAAAAAAAAGAAAACTTAACTCAATTCACACATCCAAATTTAGAATTTCACCCCCAATCATCAATATCAACCAGTACAACACAAGTAATTGATCTGAATTTTGAAGGTGGTTAAAATTGCATTTTTTGTTGATTTTGTTTCTCTTGAAGATTCCGTTCTTGAGTGACTATCTGGCTATCCATGTTCCATGGTTCTGCGGCTGGGAGTAGGGGGTGGCAGGCTACTTGTCTAGCTGGCTGCTGGTGCCTAAGCCTGGGGGTCGAACTATCGACTAGGGGAGGATGAGAGGAGAGGAGGACGAGAGCTTCTTGCTTGTGTCGGGTTTTATGTGTTTGAGTATGAGACAAGATGAGAGACACTACCGTGCAAAAAATTGAGAAGAGAGAAGAGAGGAAGAGTGGAAAACAGTGAGGCTGTGTGGGCGAGGGGATGATGGGAGAAAAAGTAAAAGTGAAATTTGTGTGGATTGTGGGTGACTGGGTGGGGACTTGGGTGAGGTTCTGGTGGGGCCGGGGAAGGGATTGGGATTTTATTGTTTTATTGGGAAATTTTGATTTAGGGGGAATGGATTAAAATTTTTTATTGTTTTAGAGGGATTTTTCTTTCAATTTAGGGGGAACCTTTAGGAGGAAATTTTCGAATTGTGACTAAGCAGACATTACTGTTTTTGATAATTTCATGTTAGATGTTCATTATGTGTTTATTATCAAGGAAATTTTATTGTTCACTTGATATCGCTTTATTATAATCTCAAAAATATTGTAAATAAATTTTTTTATCAAGTAAATAAAAGGAGATGAATGTTATTATTTTAAAAATCATAAATAAAAGTTTTACGATTGTAATTATAATGATTATAATTTATAATAAGTTGTGCAAAATTAATAAAAAAATTTACGATCGTGATGGTCATTATAGTCTTGGTTATACTCACAACCATAATAAATGTGACATGATCAAAAACTTAATCGTGATTGCAATTTAAATCTCTAGTCACTATATTATTTGTTGTCAAATGAATATGCCAAAGAAACGGGAAAGATAGATAGCTGATATTAGATATTCAGATCATGTAGAAACAATGCATTCCTCATCAATTGTAGAGCTTAATTCTTATATTTTTGTGAATTTTTTATTTATTACCTTGGTCGAATCTTTTTTTCTCTTTGTAGAATACGTATAATTTTCTCTGAAGTTTGTATTGCATTATCTTTTTACAGGTTTGGTCTTTGGTGAGGAGATTTGACCAACCTCAGAAGTATAAACCCTTTGTCAGCAGGTGTGTTGTACAAGGAAACCTTGAGATTGGGAGTCTTAGAGAAGTTGATGTTAAGTCAGGGCTTCCGGCCACTACAAGTACTGAACGACTCGAACTTCTTGATGATGATGAGCATATCCTCAGCATGAGGATTGTAGGTGGGGATCACAGACTTAAGGTAGGAATCTTATTGCTTTTTTCCGATTTACACTTTTTATTCTCTATCTTTTATGACTCCATGAACAGTCAATATCATCTATCTCTTTCATCTTAGTCTATGCACTTTGAAAAGAAAGCTATTTAAGTATGTTTGCTTACAGTTTAATGTTCCCCAAGATAAGATATTTGTTGATTGTATAATATTCGACAAGGTTCATGAAAGCATGCATGCTATCTAAAATTTTAACAAGAATGTTTTTTATCTTGCAAATCCAGGTAGTTAGGTCTTTAGCTTTGTTTGGTTTCCTGAATGCCTTAGTACAAAAGATTATGTAAATGTCTGATTGATGTATTAGTTGCAGCAAAAACCAGTGAATTGTATTTTCACAAGCTTTAGTTCATTAGTGACTGGTCAAAGTCATGAAGCTTCAATTTTAAGTGTACCAGTGGTAAAATGAAGATTGGGCCATGTCTAATCTCTCTGATGTTTTTTTTTAATCCAGAACTACTCTTCAATCATTTCCCTCCATCCAGAGATCATTGATGGAAGACCTGGAACTCTAGTCATTGAATCATTTGTGGTGGATGTGCCCGAGGGAAACACAAAGGATGAGACATGCTACTTTGTCGAAGCTTTGATCAAGTGCAATCTCAAATCTCTTGCAGATGTCTCAGAGGGGTTAGCAGTGCAGGACAGGACTGAACCCGTTGATCTTTGAGAGTTGGGGCTGAGGAGATAAGGTGGTGGCTATAGTTGCCATGGATGACGCTTCGGAGGCTTTCGTATGTTGGGGGCTCGAGAGATGGACTGGCAATTGTGGGTCTTCCATCTTCTAGATACACTCACACTATTTGTTATTGTTCTCACCTTTCGTTTTAACATTATGCACTGGATTTCCTGTCTTTAGTAGATCAAAAACCGCAAATGTTATAAAGTTTCTTCTGTTGAAGGATGAAAAAAAGGAAAAAAAGGGAAAATGATGGACTAGTTGTTCTACTGATCCAGAGTATTGTTATTGTTAATGGCTGTACATAACGGAGCTCAAAAGAGTTTGGTTTTTGGATTCTGAGTTTGTGTCGTGAATCATGATAGTGGTAGTTTCTCGTAGCAGGTTTGGTCAAAGCTTGGTGGAAAATGCAATGCATAGCTACAGTCGAACGATCATTTGCTTGATGCTTGCCAAGTGCTGACAATCCCTTTGAAAGCATAGAAAGGTTTGTTTATGAAATAGTGAAGATCACTCCTTTTGAAGCTGTCGTCGGAGCTCGGCCTAAGGCATGTGAGAACCCTGAGGTAGGGCCTTGGGCCTTTGGGGATGATGAGTATCCCGCGTCGTTGGCCATGGGCTTTTGGTGAAAAAGAGCGTGTAGCTACAGTTGCCAAGCAAAATCAATTCTAAAAATGGGATTCCAGGTAAAATTGAAGAATCAATGCTGCAATAGAGCAATCCTCATCCACGGATTAGAAATGCACAAAGATGGGTTAAAATGAGAACTGGTACTAAATATGAACTGTCTCAGAAGTTGATAAAGGATGATGTCACTTTGCGTTACACAATTCTTCAAAATTTCACCCGTAATGGGGTAAAAGTTCAAATAATACATGATTTCACAAATAATACAGGATCTATGGTGGTCTTGGCTGTTTCTCAACTTAGGGTAGCACAGGTCGGGAGCTCACTCTAATGGATGCCAGGTCCCTCCGTGTCCAAGCAGAGCTCCCATAACAAGTCTTGCGAGAAATGGTGGGGAAAAAAATTGCAACAAAATTATATAAATAATTACCTGTAGTAATTAAAATACACTGTACAGAGCTTGCCCTAGTAAAGTAGATTACAGATGTGAGTTGTAGTTTAAGCCAATACTAGCTCCCCTTCTTCCTGTTCTTGTTGTTGCTCAGGCAACCTTCCTTCTCGATATGGAAGAAGAATGCGCTTTATTTCTTCCAAACCAAGTGTTTCATACTCCAAAAGTGCATTCGCTAATGCATGCAATGCCTTCTCATGCTGAAAAAAATTGTCAAACAATGTGTTGAACTAGACAATTTGCAGTATGAAATTGATTACTCAAAAAGTTATTTCACTTTTCCACTAGCAGCTGAAACTATTACCTAAGCTAAGATACGACTTTTATTTGAAAATTACTCAATGGATGAACAAAAACTTACAGAAACAAATATTTCTTCATACATATTAATGGAATCTTAGTAGCTAGAATCCTACCATTCAGATTTCATTTTAATTCCTTGTTATATAGAATGGTTTCTTATTCCTTATCAATAAGAAAATACAAAAAGAAAAAACAAAGGGGTTTCCTGAACATACCTTCTTTAACAGGGCTTTCACACGATAATATGCTTCTCTTAGAAGCTTCACCACCTGCATAACAAAATAAAATAAATTAAGATTGAAAATACAATTATACTAATCAGAACAATAGCTTGCAGATACATACTTCAGCATCAATGCGAGACTGCATTTCTGAACTTGGTCGCTCTTTAATATGAACTGGTCCAATTGCATCACTCATCCCACAATTCGATACCTAGCATAGAAGTTAAAGCCATAAGCAATGAGAAGTTAAATACAAGGGACAGCATATTTCAGAGTGAATGAAGAAGTCCTGCACATCTTGCCCCTTAGGTACAATATTACTCAAAGTTTTTGGTTAACTCTTTCCCATATCCCATATATAAATGATTATTAACTAGTAAGATAAATATAGCAATGGAGTACTACAGATTCAAAAAAAAAAAAAAAACACTATGAAATATACCATATATTGAGCAATCTCTGTAGCTGTGTGCAAATCACTACTTGCCCCAGTTGTGATATGGTCCTGACCAAAGATAAGCTCTTCTGCAACTCTTCCTCCCATACAAACATCGAGACAAGCTAATAATTGCTTCTTACTAATTGAAGTGTCATCACTTGAAGGCAGCTGGGTAACCATTCCTAATGCAGATCCACGGGGCATGATTGTTGCCTTGTGGATTGGATGTGCACCCTCAGTATTAAAAGCAACAATTGCATGGCCACTCTCATGATAAGCAGTGAGCTGAAATTATGTGTGATAATGTCAGCAAATAAGGATGACCCATTTGTACACCGACCGCGCACCAATATAGAACCAAAATATTACCTAGTTGCAGTTAAAAATCAACATTGTTTAACAATTGGCCATTTATCTACATGAGGTGCATCAAGAAACATCTTACGTTAAGCTCTAAACATGAGCAATCCTTAACTGTGGCCATTTATCTGCATATCCTAAATTGTGTAAAATTTTCTCTGGCAATCTTTGTTATCATCATAATTGCCCTTTTATATCTTTGTTTGCAACTCACACTGATTATAGAGTTAATGATTCAATACATTCCCAGCAAACCACAACTCCAATTCTACCCTAAAGTGACCAATAAAAAATGTCAATACCTTCTTTGACTCTTCCGATAAATACATTGTTTTACGCTCAGTACCCATGAGTATCCTGTCTTTTGCATATTCCAAATGTGCAGCAGTCAACTTATCTGCACCTTCAACTGCAGCTTTAATTGCAGCAATATTCACCAAGTTTGCTAGATCTGATTGACAGAATAACAGGAAAAGGTTTAAAGAAAATAAGAATGTTTGTTGGCAGGAACTAGAAACTTGTTTCACTTTATGCAGAAAAAAAATACCTGCTCCATTGAATCCGGGAGTACCACGGGCGATTGCTTTAACATCTACATCACCAGATATAGGTTTATCTTGTAGATAGAGCTCCAAAATCTCTTGACGACCTCTTACATCTGGATTAGGGACAACAATCTAAAAATGGGCTTTATAAGTCTTCTATATAAAAAAGAATAGAAGAGGAAAAAGTAAATGCCTATCCTACAAGAATAATTATAGTCCATGGACAAGACTTCACTGGTATCAGAACAAAATGGTCAAGGATTCAGACAAGGAGTAGCATATGAAGCAATTATTCAAGTCAATTTGCATAACAAGTCCTTGGGAAATTAAAACTTGTTTTCTGAACACTTCAATGACTAAAGTAACCACAAACTGGAGCACAGTTTATAAAGGGCAAAATCCATTGGGGGAATGGGGGGTGGGTGTATGGGTCTGATTAAGGAACCACCTCTATTGTGTCATACCTTGCTCCTCCAAGAGTAACTTTCTACATAAAGTCCCAAGCACAAAGACTCAACAAAGCACTGATGATTGGAGCACTTACATGCCTGTCAAATCTACCAGGTCTGGTCAACGCTGGATCAAGAATGTCAGGCAGATTTGTTGCAGCCATCAGAATTATTCCCTATCAGATAGACAGAGATTAAACAAATTCAAAAATGCAAAAAGCAATTACTGATATTGCAAACTTGTTTAAATCTACCTCATTCTGTTCAAAACCATCCATTTCAACAAGCAGCTGATGTAGTGTTTTTTTGGTATGGCCTTCCCATTGTTTTCGTGTGGATCCAACAGCATCTATTTCATCAATAAAAATGATGCACGGGGCCTATAAAATGTGAAACATTGTCAATGACATGGTCAGACAGTATGATGGACATGGTATCAAGCAATCACAGCAATCCCCAGAACCCAGTAATTATGAACATCAACCTTTTTCTTGGCTGCTTGGAAAAGGGATCTCACACGCCGAGCACCAACACCAACAAACCTGCCACAGAGAAAGAGAATGTCAGAGTCAGAATGTAATCCCAAGAACCGAGTATATAGTATACATTAAAGCAAATAGAAATCTATTTAAAGGGTTGCCAAGCAAAGATGAAATGAGACGATGGCTTACATTTCCTCAAATTCAGATCCGGCCCTATAGAAGAAAGGTACCCCTGCTTCCCCGGCAATAGCCTTCGAGGTTCAACAAATGAAATCTATCATTGTAAGTATGCATAGACGCACATGCAAGATGCTTTGAAGGATCTTGGTGAACCACTAACAGCAAAGAGAGCTTGTATGGTGGTTAAGATGTGTTAGTGTATGCGCGTGTGAGTTGGAAAATTATAGGAATATTCCATGGGAGACAGTTTAGGAAGGATTTATTGGGAGCATTAATGTATAATTTGTAATTGATTCTCTTTCCTTAATATTGTTTAGATAATGAAAGGCTAATCCAAGGGATTAGCAAGTTGTTCTCTAAAGCCTTAATTCTAACATGGCATCAGAGCTAGCAACGCCCTAATCACTGCTGCCCCCCCCCCCCCCCTTCTCTCTCTCTTTCCTCAAACCCCTCTGTGATAGCCCATGCTTCATCACTTAAGCTGTCACTACTATAGACTTTGATCTTGCAACCCTAAAGCTGCGTACTTAAAACTTTTCCTTTCTCTTCAGCAGTCCCTCATTAGTTGAAAGGGGGCCACCACCTTATTTTCAAAGGCGATAGGAAGAAGGGATTGCAACCTCTTCGTGAATGATCGATTGAGGGAGACAAGTTCTTCTCGGTGTAGAGCATGGCTACAGAACTAAGGATGGAGTACCTGGTTGTTGATTAGGGGTTGTGTTACCTGATTGAAGGATTACCAATTGTGTTTTGGAGGAAGAAGGTTCTGTGGCCATGGCAAAGGAAAAGGCAATCGCATTGAAGGTGATAACTTTGGAGTATATCATGGGCTCACAATTGTCGAATGAGAAACTTGATGGCACCAACTACTTGTCATGGAGCAAGATTGTGTTGGTGACCTTGCGAGGTCTTGGACAAGCTCAGTTTCTGACAAGTGAGCCGCCGGCAAAGGAAAGCTCGAAGGATGCAACATGGGATTAGGAGGACAATTAAGTACTTGGACAATTATTCAACTCGATGGAACGACAAGTAAAGGTGACGTTCAATCAATACTTTACAAGTAAGAAACTTTGGGATACTTTAAAAATTGTTTATGCAAATTTGGAGAATTGGCAAAGGATCTCAAAGGTTACCAGGGCATGGACTAGAATGGAGCAATCCGATAGGAGCCTGAGAGAATATTTTGCTGCGTTCAAGGAGGTATATGACGAGTTTAATGAACCTACACCCTTGTCTACCGATCTGAAGACAAACCAGGAGCAACGAGAGGCTCTAGCTATAGTGTTTTTCTTAGCAGGATTGAGAAAGGAATATGCCAGTGCTAGTACTTAGATATTAGTCGACAGAGATCCACTTTCTTTACTAGATGCTTATAAATGCCTGAGCAGGGTCACTCAATATGATCCTCCACAAGAAGACAAGGCAGTATTTGTGGCCCCACAGCATGAAGGGCGAGCACCACGCGGAGGACGTGGTGGACGAGGTAGAGGACGTGGAAGTGGTAGAGGAGGCCCATGGTCCTGCTATCATTGTGGACAGTAGGGACACTTACGGAATGTTTGTCCAAAGCATCGGGGCAATGCTGGCCCACTAGTGGCATATGTGATTGATGTTGTGCTTCAGCCCCAGCAGCAAGAGGAGAAAAAGAGTTCAGTTATCCCAGGATGAGCATGACAGACTTATTCAAATGCTTCAGAATCAAACTTCGATCTCCTCTCCAACAACAACTTTTTTACAAGGTAAATCTATTGCATGCTTGGCTACCCCCTCCAAGACTTGGGTGATTGATTTAGGAGCTTCAGATCACATGACGGGTACTATAGGTACTCTTTATTCATATACTCCTATGACGGGGAAACATTCTGTTTTGGTTGTTGATGGAAACTCTATAGATATTGTGGGAAGTGGCAAGGCTTGACCTATATCCATGTTACCTTTACATTTTGTGCTAAATGTCCCTTCTTCTCCTTTTAACTTACTTTTAGTTAGTCAGATTGCAAGGAATTTAAATTGTAGTGTTTCCATCTATGTCAACTTTACGAGTTACGTGTCCTCATTTATCATCTTTTAGTTTTGATTGAGAATCATCCAAGTTTGCTAAACTGCACAGTGGCTTATTGACCTTGATTTAATAAAAGAGAAAATTTCCTTTAGTTGTGATTCATTTTGATGTATGGGGGCCTTGTCCTATTATTTTGAAACCTGGTTATAGATACTTTTTGACATTTGTTGATGATTATTCACGAGTTTGTTGGTTGTATTTGTTGCGGAGCCGCTCGAATTATTCTTAATCGTCACTACCTTACATGCAGAAATAGAGAATCAATTCGTTAAGTCTATCAAAATTTTACGAAGTGATAATGGGGTTGAGTATTTTTCTATAGAGTTTATTCAATTCCTAAATGCAAAAGATATTGTTCATCAGTCCTCGTGTATAGATACCCCACAGCAAAATGGGGTTACTAAAAGGAAGAATCGCCATTTGTTGGAAGTGGCTAGAGCTCTTTTGTTTCAATGAAGGTCCCTAACATGTTCTGAAGTGAAGCTTTCCTCACAGCATGCTATCTTATAAATCGTTTGCCAACCTTGGTTCTTGAAGGAAAAATTCCTTTTCAAGTATTGTGTCCTGATCGTCCCTTATTTTTAATCTCCCTCGAGGTGTTTGGGTGCACATGTTTTGTTCATAACACTTATCCAGGTCGCACTAAATTGGATCTACGTTCTCTTAAATGTATCTTCCTAGGTTATTCACATGTCCAAAAATGGTATCGATGCTACTCTCTAGACTTGGGTCGCTTTATTATTTTGGTAGATGTTGCGTTTCATGAATCGGTTCCTTTTCTTTCGGTACTACAGTCTCATCCATCACCAATTATATCAGAAGAAGAAGATTTTCTCATCTATCAAATGCATAGTACACCAGTCAATGCATCTCCTCCTGAGGTATGCCCAGATACTCGATTTGGTCGTACATACACTAAAAGGACCTACATAGATCCACCTACAGAAACTTCCCCTATCGAGACAATCTCTCTGTCAATGCATCCACTTTGAGACACTATTGCTGAAGATGTACCAATTGCTCAATGGAAAGGTATGCGAACTTGCAAAAATTTCCCTTTACACATGCCCTCGTACAAAGGATTTTCTGCTCGACTTCAGACTTTTATTGCCACAATTGGTGCTATTGTTGTGCCACATACTCTTCGCGATGCTTTTGCAGATTCAAGATGACGTAAGGCTATGGAGGATGAGATGATGGCCTTAGAGGCCAATCATACATGGGACTTTGTTTCCCTGCCAGAAGGGAAGCAAGCTATTGGGTATATGTGAGTTTACACCACAAAATTGAATCCTGATGGTTCATTGGCTAGATTGAAGGCAAGACTCATAGCAAAGGGATAAATGCAAACATATGGAGTAGATTATTTTGATACCTTTTCACCAGTGGCAAAGATGACACCTATTCGCCTATTCCTCAATTTTGCTGCTACACATAAATGGGCATTACATTAGTTGGATGTGAAGAATGCTTTCCTATGGTGACTTGATTGAGGAGGCATATATGGAGCAACCATTGGGGCCTGTTGCTCAGGGGGAGTCTAGGAAGATGCGCCACTTGCATAGGTCTCTGCATGGTCTGAAGCAATCTCAACGCGTGTGGTTCGACAAATTTAATGCAGTTTTTGTTCAGCATGGCATGCGACAAAGTGAGAAAGATCATTTAGTATTTTATAAAGGGAAAAATTCTAGCCTTATATTGTTGGGAGTGTATGTAGATATCATCATCATTGGCAGTGATAGTGTAGGGATTGCCAGACTTAAGATGTATCTTAAGTCCTAGTTTGAAACCAAGGACTTTGGTCAATTGAAATATTTTCTAGCTATTGAAGTGGCAAGGTGTCAATAGGGTATCTTTGTATCTCAGAGGAAGTATGTGCTAGATATTTTGAGAGATGCGGGCTTGTTCCATGCCAAGCCAAGTGACACATTGATGGATCCAGGTATCAAGCTTTCTCCAAAAGATGGCACTTTACTTGATGATCCCACACTTATAGGAAACTAGCGGAAAAACTGAATTACCTAACCATGACAAAACCTGGTATATCTTTTCTAGTGAGTGTGGTAAGTCAATTCATGGCAACTCTCAAAGATACTCACGAGAGAGCAACGATGCGCATCCTTCGATATTTGGTGAGAAATCCAGGAAAGGGAATACTCTACAATTCCACTAGTGACGAGGGTATTCAAGCCTATGCAGATGCAAATTGGGTAGGCTATCCTATAGATAGGAAGTTTACATTTAGTTATGCTATCTTCCTTGGGAGTAATCTGGTGTCTTGGAAGAGCAAGAAGTAGCAAGTAGTTGCTAGGTCTAGCACAGAAGCAGAGTATATAGCCATGGCTTTGACTACAACAAAGGTATTATGTATGGTTCAATTCTAAGATGAAATAGGGCTTTTAGTTCGGACCCCTACAGAGTTATAGTGTGATAATTAGGCGACAATTCATATATCTTCCAATCCAATATTTTTTGAAAGAACCAAACATATAGAAGTTGATTGTCATTTCACAAGGAAAAGTTGCAAAGTGGAACAATATTATTCAAGCATGTGCGCACAGGAAAACAACTAGCCGATATTCCCACAAAATCACTTCCATGAGTTCAAGCTGACTATATATGTAAGAAGCTGAGCATGACTGATATATATGCTCCAGATTGAGAGGGAGTGTTAGTGTTTGCGTGTGTGTGAGTTGGAATATTATGAGACTATTCCATGGGAGACAATTTATGCGGGATTAATTAGGAGCATTAATGTGTAATTTGTAATTGATTCTCTTTTCTTAGTATCGTCTATAGAATGAAAGGCTAATCCGAGGGATTAGCAAGTTGTTCTTTAAAGCCTTAATTCTAACAAGATGAATGTGCAAAAACTATCTGACATATGTAAGCGACCATTAGTGAGAATATAAAAAGTAGATCTTACCTTGGCCAGCAGAGTTTTTCCAGTTCCAGGTGCTCCAGTCAAAAGGATACCCTGCAGTTTAGTTGTGAATAAGTTAATACAACCAGAAGGTTAACACAAAAAACCCTTTTACTCCAAAAGTGAATGAATCAAAGCATACCAATTTCAGTACTCATGATTCACATAATATTGCAGAATCACTCACTATGGACTAAAAAATGGACTAAAAACGTCTAAACTGTTTGTTAAAATTTCTCCCTCCTATGCAAACTATGAAGAACAGAACCTAGAATCTCTAGCCAATTCCCTTCCCAACCCTATCACCAAGCTAACAGGACTTCAGGCTGTTTCTTGATATATTTGGTTTTCCTAGCATAGAAACTATTGATATATTTTCTATTCTATTTCTATTTTCTAGCATGCCCTTGAGAAGTATAAAATTTAGAAACCAACAAGAAAGTCAAACCATATTGAGTAAAAAATACATACTGTGACCAATGTCAAACACCATACACAAACCTTTGGCAATTTCCCCCCAAGTCGGGTGAACTTTGATGGGTTTTTGAGATACTCCACTACTTCCTCAAGCTCTTGTTTTGCATCATCACAGCCTTTAACATCCTTAAATGTTTTGACATTCTGCAAATAAAGTACTTAATGAGGGAAAAAACGTTTAGGATTATCTATTAAATTTCTAATAAATAGCCCTGGCCCATCGATACCAAAACTAAAGTTGCATTTCACTTGCATGGTCTGCAAAACAGGTTCTTGATCAGCATTTATCTGATGAAGGATGAAGTTTTACCAAATTATAATAGCTTCCCTTTAGTCATGAATACTTTTCAATTAGAATTTTCAGTCATTGCCCAAAGTTTTCATCTTACTCAACCAGTCCAATATAATCTATTTAACCCATTCCACCCATGCATATTGAAAATAGAAATGCAGTTGTCAAATGCAACAAAATCCCATAGCCTTGATTTAGCCTGCAAGCAGAGGCATCGAGTACTTGCCTTCTCTGGCATCACTTCTTTGTTCAATTCTTTGGGGGCATAAGAGGAACTTGATCCAACACCTGAAGTCCCTATTCCACCCAAGCTTCCTACATACTTCTGCAGCGCAGAAGCACCCATTATCCTGAACATAGCTTTTATGTTTAATAAAATTAAATAGGGGGATAATAGCAAGGAATGGCTGATTCAACAATGAAAAAATTTATCTGTGCAGGGAGGAGAGAGAGAGAGAGAGAGAGAGAGAGAGAGAGAATAACTACAATTGAGGTGATCCATACCAAACCAATCCGACAGCAATAGTGAACAAGATAGTTGAAATTAGCTCTTGTGCAAATCGTGATTTGTTTGAACCTTTAGGACCAACCTAATAAAGAAAACAGCATCACTATCAAAATAGTTGACAAGGTATTCCAATGGGGAGAAAAGAACAATCCAAGTTGTGTACGGGTTATGATAGTCCATGCATCATAGTACAAGTATGGACTACAAAAAAGAATGTACTTTGTGTAAACTATATTGTCCCCCATACAGAACAATGAAATAAAAGAATGTACTGTGCATAAACCATATTGTCCCCCAAACAGAACTATGAAATAAAGAGTCTTACCATCACAACATGCAACGGCTGCTTCTCAGAAATTCCAGGGCTTAAAAAGGGCTGATCGATGGTCCCTGATGCACGCTGCTTCAATTCTTGCAACTACATTTAAATTTTAATGGATCATATATTCTTAAGTCTTTTTGGTGATGTTGAAGCATAGGTTTATATAGAATTATTTTCAAACATATAAAAGTAATTATCCACCAATTCAGAGGTCCAACAGAACTCGAATGTGGAAAGAGAAAACATTGGTTCGACCAAGTTTTACAATTTTTAAAGTAACTGAAAAATAATTGAATCAAATGCATATAGAAAACAAAAGCGACGAAGCAGGGCCTTGTTACCAAAGTAGGAAGACTAGAAGGCTTTCCAGCCTGTTCATCCGGAAGGTATTCAGCAATGGCATTAGTGACTACCAGAGCTCGAAGATATTCGGCAACTCCTCTACTGTCTACCGCTTGATCCCTTTGTTCAAATCGCTTAATCACAGACTCAGGACTGTTTTAAAAATAATAAAATCAAATACTAGAGAGCTAAAAAACAAAAAGAAATTTGTTTTGAAATTAACCAACAATAATAAAGTGAAAGAAAACCTGTGCTTATTAAGTTCAGCTAGCAAAGCGCTTTGTTTAGCGGCGTCTTTGGGATTGGCGTCGGCTTCGGAAATGAGGCGGTCAAGCCGTTTCTCCTGACGCCAAAAGGGCCACCAACTGAACCAATCCATAGCCACTAATTTGTCCATTCCGTTCTTAATCATGGCCCAAACTCCCATCAAAAACACCATGGCAGGAATTTTGCTTCTGGGCCCATCTTTTCCCAACAATTTATCATTCTGCCCTTGGCTCTCCACCACATTCTCAGTTTCCCCGTCGATGTTATTCACTTCAATTCCCTCGCTCACATTCTCAAACCCATCGATGGTGGCGAGGCCTTCAAAATCCGAAACTAAAGCTTTGGAATCTTCAACATGAGTATCGAATTTGAAGTCGGAGTTGAGGTTGTCGGGATGCAATGTGCAAGGGACTGAAAAAGGACGGGGATAAAATCGGGAGGGCCGAGACAGTTTGGGAAGAGAAGAAAGATTGAAAGAGAGGGAAGAAGAACGGTGAAAGCGTGGTTTACGAAGCGGAAGAGAAGGCAAAGGTGAAGGATTGCAGAGAAGCGAAGCTTGGAGAGATGTAGTCATTGCTTAGGGTTTAACGGGAGAAAGAAAATTGCCTTCTCCAGTTTCAAAGTCTGAGAAGGGAAGAAGAGGAAAGAGTAAGAAGCAGGGAGGGAGTTAAGAGCCACTCAGGAGATTGACAGAGCAGATTAGAGGTAGGAACGACACGAGTGAAGTGACACCTTATCTCGCTCCAATTGGCCTCCCCCGGCTTGTCACTTGCGCGTCCATCACTTAAATTGTTTTTTTCGTTTTTCTCAGTCGACTGAGTTTCTATTTTCAACTCACCGGGTTTTTATTTTTTTATTGGAGATTTGTCTATTGAGATGCGCGGAATATTATAAACCAGTTCATTAAATATAAGAAAGAAAATGAAAAATAAGCAAAATTTTGAATAGTCAATGATTTTGAATAAAAATTAGTGTAGAAAAGATTGTATTTTTTTATATGAAAAACAATAGAATTTTACGTTTTGTCAAAAAAAAAAAAAAAAACAAACGAAACTCTTAGCTCCTAAGAAAATTCTAAAAAAATATTAACATTCGCAAATTGTACAATATCTTTTCTTCTGGCTGCACAATATCTTTAATTAAACATTCAAAATCCCACCCCCCCCCCCCCCACCTATGTCTTACCATCTCCGCCTCTCTCCCTGTAGCTTCTTCCCACTTCCTTCCAGCTCCCCCTCGCTCCAGTCTCCACTCCTTTGTTGAAATTCCAATAAACATAATACCAAAAATGTCCTCTAAAACTAAAAAATGTTTACATGACCCCATTCAATAAAAAAAGCAAAAAAAAAAAACAAAAACAGAGGTCGGGAGAAACCACCATGTGGCAGCTGAGGCCACCTCAACTCAGTTTTCATATATCATAGATAGATGCTATTACATCTGATTGGGTCTATAAGGAGGCACTGTCCCAGCTGGTGGTGGTACTCCACTCCGGCCTGGCATTTGCATCATCCCGGGAGTCATTTGAGGCATTGTGGCTGGTGGCACGAATGGATGATGACTAGTCATCTGTACTGGCATGGATTGAGGCACTGCTGGCACAGCCGAGACCCATCCAGCTGAAGGTTGAGGAGGCATCATTGGTTGCTCTAAACCAGGAGCATATTGAGTCCCATTGTATTGATGAGCAGCTGCACCCAATGTTTGAATTGGCTGTTGCCCCACCATCGAAGGCTGTGGATTAACCATGGCAGGGTTAGGGATTGTATAATCTCTGCTCCTATCATTGTTGACCTGTAATGCACAGACAAACCATATTAGACTGGGCTTCTTTATCTTTAAATGTAAGTTGCAATCTTGACACCCATCGAAATCAGCAATGTAATTCAATCAAAGTAATGCAACATAGCAGGATTCTGAAGAGAACTACAGAGCTGAGACACTCCAAAGAACTTCCCCACAGCCCTCCCTCTTCCCTCTTTGCACCCTTTAGAAAAAGTGCCAAGAAAATGCATGGCCATCAATTTTGCCACCAAGCTAAACTATTGCAACAAAACAAACCATTTAAATAACAATCAATAAATGGTATCATCCAAATACCTTTATACTGAGATCAGTGTGGCGTGAATACGAGATATGAAGTTTGCAAAATCCTCCATCATATATGCAGTGCCCTTCCAAGGCCTCCTTGGCAACAACAGCTGTCTGAACATCTGCAAAACATCAAACCATTACTACTTAAATTTAAGGGACGGCAGGAAATATGTGTCCAATCTCTTTCATATGTTCTTGCCTTTAAGATGAAAACAATAATGGATTAGACCACAAATGCTAAGGATGAATTTGTTTGATTAAGCAGGCTCTATTTAAAAATAACCTTTTTATCACTAGTCAGAAATTCTCAAATGCAAATGATGGAACCATCTTGATGGAAGGAATACCCGATTCTGATGCCTAATTTAAGACAAGATAAATAAGCAAGGTTGAATTACCTGGGTACTGAATTAGAGCCTGCACTCCACCGTTCTTATCAAACATGGCAATCTTTTGAACAGGGCCAAAAGCAGAAAATACCTAAATACAGGACAAAAAGAAGAGAGTAAATGACAAATAATCAGCGAGAGTTGACATGGTAAACAGTCTAATAAAAGTTGCTTCCAGTAATTGTAAATACCATGTGTAACACATCCAAGGTCACAGCATACTGCATGTTCTCAATAGACGCAAGTAAAACGTTACTCTCTGGTTCTAGTTTTTTTCCATCAAGACCCAAACTGAACTGCAATGATGACAAATGAACCTCATTGATAAAAATAAATTAAACAAAACACCACAGAATCCAGTGCAGTAATGCAGCAATATCATTCATTTCTTAGTTTTTTTTTTTTTTGGCCAATCATTTCTTAGTTGAATCTTGATGCATGCAACACCTTGCATGTGAAAAAACACATGCAAACATTTTAATAAATTTATGGGAACTTGGACTAAAAGCAAGACTTTGTGCTCTAAGAAACTGTACGCAGTAAGTAGTTCACAGAGAACTATATTAAAATTCTAAGTGCTGTTAAGAAATTCAATTGTCAATAGCATGTTCTTTACCTGACCACTTCCATCTATAGCTGAAGGAGCAACAGGAAGATACGGATTGGTATAGTCCCTGAGAAGAAGAAAAAAAGGAAAAGGGCAAGCAATTCATGTAATCACTAAACAATAATGAAGATGGAGATCACTAGCAGAGAGATGAACTAAAGCCCAGTAAATCGTAAAGCAACAAAAGTAAGTGATGGATGAAAAGTTCAGATATGCAAACACATACTAACTGCCATTAATATCATCAATTCATAAGCATCTCCAGAACCAATTAAGTACTGGAATGTGATACATATGATCAATAATCAGATACGAAGAGGAAACATCAGGAATACCTGCTCCTGTGGCTCTGAAATTTCACACTCAAATCTGTATGAGCAGAATATGTGATCCTAAGCGTACAAGGCGCTATATTTTCAGAAAGCAGATACCTGAAAACCCAGGACAGAGTCAGTACATTGTGCAAGAAAACCAATAGTCAAAAAAGACCAAAACAACATGTAAGATTAAAAGCCTTGCTTGTGGAGGACACTAATGTCATTAAAGGAACTATAATCTAATTCTAACTCAGTGAGTTGTCTATATCCTTTACCAAGAACTAAAAGATCGCAAGTAAGAGGGAACATTGCAACACTTAACAGAAATAATCCGTCAAAAGTTTAAGGGCCCAATAGACGTATGTGCTCAATGCAAGTGCACCACGTCTAAAGCTATGTGGTCCATTCTAGTTGGACTAAATACCCTGTCTAACAATTAATACAACTGTCACCTAGGGATGATTCGTCCATCCAAGGCATTTTTTGCAGACGTGGCTGTTTCTGCATCTGAAAACTGCACCAATGCCTGCACAAAAGTTAGGGTATAGAATGAGCATATTTTCAAAGGCTGAAGCAAGCCAACCAATACTGAAAGAAGGAGACGAATTCATTGACCTGGAATCCAGCTGTCTTCTCAAAGGTTGTAATTTTATGCACAAATCCAAAAGCTGAAAATACCTGCATTATTTACTGCTTTAGAAAGAACTGACAAAAATCAAGTAAAAGAACTCCAAAAAGCAATTTCAATTTTTAATTCCCTCTAACAGATTTTCCAGAAAATAAGAAATGGAGACATATCCAGGTCTTCAGCATAGAGGCAGAAACAATAGATCGTATTAACAGTATACAGTTTGATAATTACAGTGATAAATTTCACATTTTCCAAGGAGGTTAACAAGCTTAGTACATGTAAAATCAATACTTTATCAGGGTACTAGAAATCTAGAATGCCACAAATGATGAAATGAAGGAAGGGTGATAAAACCAACCAAGTAGTGCTATGAAACTTCACATCTTTACAAATAAAACAAAGCTACAGTACAGGCCGCTAAAATTTCACTTTTTTATCAAGTTTCATGGAATAAATAACTCTCTCAACTTCTAAGTTCAAAAATCTGATTCAATCACTATTCTTTTGTAAGGATAAAAGGTAAAGTTCCAGCAGCTTCAAATAAATTGCAGTAAACTGCAGATGCAGGGAGAGATATTAATTGCTCTAGAATTTAAAATGTTAGAGCCCATACTAGAGGAAGTCAAAAGAAAAAAGTTGCAATAAGCACCTGATTCTAGCATCAGTCAAGGTGCCAGGAAGAAGCTCTCACTACAAGGATAGGCACCTAATAGAAAAGCATATATATATATATATATATATCCAGGCAATTTGTGCCTCTGTATGATAAAGTTACAGAGTAAGTATATTTTCAACATCAGGCACTTTGTAGATTACATTCTTCCCTAAGAAAAATAACAACTGTTCTTTAGTAGAATAAATCTATGCAAATAATTAACTCGCTTTTCAAAAGCAGGGTTATATAGACTAAAAAAAAGAAACATTTAGACTGGGAGAACTAGCGGCCTCATATTATTCCTATATGATTTAGGGACTATTAATAATTACAAATTATGTTTTATTCCAAAATGGCAAGAGATAAGTATGCTTGCACGAGTGGAAAGGGGCAGAAGGATCTTTCAACCTTCATAGGCTGTTATTGATGATAGTCATTCATTCTGGGAATAAAGGACATCATTGACAAAAAACAGTGGTGATTACAAGGATGATTGGCTACCTAATCAGGGGTCATCAAACTTTCTAAAAAAGAACTGCCAATTCGTGGAGGCACTTGCCTTGAGCACCTTTTGTTCTACTAAGCAGGTAACCTATGCACCAAAGTAAGCACCTCCTTCAAAGTTACCTTGGATTCAGGGTTCTAAGAAACTTTTTGGTATATTGCTTCACCTGAGTGCCAAGAAAAACGAATGCACTCAACTAGACTGCCCTGCTCATGTTCAGTAAGGAGTGAAGATTTTGACATTCAGCAAAGCTAGCATCTATTTTACCACACAAATATATTAAACAGACAATATGCACAAAATTGTAAATGAAGCACAAACTTCATTGCCAGTTGCAGCACAAAAGAAAAATTAGTGACACAAAGCATCTAAAAAGTCCAAGGGAGATGGATGCAGATGAAAGAAGAAATAGGAAAAAAAACATCCTAAATGGTAGGAATAGGAGGTAAGTAAGGAAGAGTAGGGAAGAGAGGTAGTGTTAAGGAAAGGAGAAAGGAGACAAACACACGTGTGCTCTTTCTACCGATGCACTAAGCTGCCATTGGAGATAATTCCCTTGACATTATCCTGCTGATCCATTCACATCCATGTCAAAACACAAAAAGCTTTTTTTTCCGAAAGCGTACGACAAAAGCTACACAATCCTAGTAATTACATAAACTTATATCAACCTAGAAATAATAACTTCACACCCTTCTGAACCAACAAAAAAGCCAAGGTCTTCCATACCAAATGCAAAACATCGATGGAAACAAGCCGTGCATCTTGACCTTCGATGGTTACCAACAGAACATTTCCAGCAACATCAGCGGTCGTTTTGTTGTTTACAATCTCCTGCCTGTTGGAATATTGTAGGTAGACCGTTTTGCCCCTTACTTGAGCAGGCTCTGAAGATGAAGCATAATATGATATCATAGCAATAGCCTGATTCAAATCAGCCTAAAAAATGGTAAACAAAGAAATAAATATTATTACTAACTTTATTGAAATAATGGGACGAAATTAGAACAGATTATAAAAAGCTCTTATTAAACTTACAAATTCGATGAAAGCTTGATTACGGTTGGCTCCAACATTGCACTTGGTGTTAACGACCTTCCCAAATGGCTTCCCCAGCTCGATCAACTCTTCCTCCGTACACTCCCATGGCAAGTTTCTCAAATGCAGCACCTTAGATGGGGGTTGAGTGTAACGGAACTGCGGCTGACTTGATACGGAGGCCATCCCGTTCAGCGATCAACCCCTATAAAAATCTTCGGGAAAAAAAAAAACAAATCGAAACCCTAAATGCCCAAAAGTTCAAAAATATCAAACATTACACTCTTGATATCAAATCGAAATATATATCCGTAGATCGATGAGAATCAGGGAAAATAAAGAAAAAAAAAAAAGAGTCGAAGAAAACCTGAGAAGAAAAAAGAGATAATCCGTTGAAATTTTTCTGATATTCGTTAAATTAGGGTTTCAAAAAGGGTGGGAGAGAAAATCCGCGGATTTCCTTTTTGTTTCCTTTTTTTTTTTCTTCTTATCGTGGCTTAGGGATGGGAATTGTTTTCGCGCCGTATGGGTTTACCGAGCACCCCATTGATGTTGGCAATTAATATAAAAGGAGAGATTGGATTGGATTTTTATCATTTCAGCGATACGAAAAGGGCGTATTTTAGCTGAGGCAGCGTACTTTAGCTGAGTCGGTGTCCTTCGTTTCTGACTTTATTGTGCCGGTGTTAGAGGTCAAACTATGCAGGCGATCTCTGTATCATACAAAAATTGAAAATTTACACCCTTTATTATGCTTTATATAAATTTAATTTTTATATTATTTTAATTTAATAATTTTTAGGTAATCATCAATTTTGTCTAAAAATTTTTGTTAAAAATATTGATGTGACCTTTAATTTGTTGATATTATCATTATCTTTTATTGCATGATATTTTGATTGGTTTATAATTGATACGATGTTTATATAAATTAAATTAGTAAATATTATGATTTATATGTAATTATATAACTTAAATAAATAAATTTTTATTTATGATATTTAAATTTATAAATTAAGTAACTATGGTTTTCTTAATATTCACTTTGATCAATGCAAATAAAAGAGATATTCTTTTGTTGTAAATGTATATGTTGATGGAATGCATAAATAAAAATAATTAAAAGTTAAATAAACGTTTCTCTTCAACCTATAAAATAATGCTTTTTGTCCATTAAAAAAGTAGGTAAAAGATTAAAAAGTTAATAAAAAAAATGATAAAACATTTTATCAAAAGAAGTTATAATGAATCAAGATGTAATTTCTCTTTAATTAGAAATTATGAAATTCATCTTGTTTTAAAGTCTTGAGCATTAAAATTATATAAAATTAAGATTGAATTTTTATAATAAAAAAAATCTAACATGTGATATCAGAACTTTTGATTTAAGAACTTGTAATTTTCTTTTAAAAATTACTCTTTATATTTATTATTATTAATTTTTATGATCTATTTTCATGTTGATGTTTGTTATTAATTTTATTTTATATTATATTAAAAGTTAATAGTTTCAATGTTTTTTGCAAGTTAATATTAGCATGGTACATGAAATCTTAAAACAATAATTAAAGTTTCTTTTATTTATTTATTTGGATATCATTAAATTGTTATTTATTTAATTACAATATAACTCTTTATATAAATTTAATATAACAATAAATCATATTTATTTTATAATTTATTAATGAAGAAATGTAGTACTTAATAAATATATATTTATTAGATAAATGAATATATATAAAGATATATAAAAATTAAAGAAAAATAATAAAGATTGCATAAAAAATGAAAGACAAAATAAATTAAACTTAATAGTCGTTAAATTGTAAATAATATAATTAAATATTATGAATTTTATAATAATTATGAAAGTCATTAATGTAAACAAATGTTTAATTATTTTATACCTATTTACTTGTTATAATATATATATATATATATATATTGCATTTTACTATATATGTGAGATATAACAATTATGTAAAATTCATATATAATAGTTTATGGGTATTTTTTATTCATAACAATAACACCTTCCCTTATATTATGTTTGAATTATCATTATGTCTATTATTATCAAAATAATTGTTATGATTATTTATTTTGATATATATAGTATGAATAATTTGTTAGTCACCAAAGTAATCAAATTGAACAGTTTTTTATAGATGTCGAATTAAATAAAATTCAATTACTTATGATTTTGTGATGCTATAAATGGGATGACATGATAATATATATTTATTGAGTAAATTGAAATTCAATGATTACCAAATATTTTAAGGATCGTCCAAAGGTAGTTGATTAATTTTATAATCATTAACATAATCATGGTTGATTAATATAATTTATTAGATATTTTTTGCATATCCAAAAATAGTAAGTATATCTAATTAGAGTATATATAATTGCTAATTATGTGAATCAAAATTAAACATCAATTATATTTATTGTTATACATTGTTGGATCATCTAAAAGAGAACTTTAATGTACATTTAATGTTTATATGAATGTTATTTGAATCTATATCATATATTTAAGTTACAACTCAAAGCATTAACGTATGGGTATTTTATCTATTTTGCAACATTTGTTCATGTTTCTCTTCATTTGCAAGCTTTGTCTATTATGAAGTTTAATGGGCTTAATTTTTCTAAATGGTTTGAACAAGTCTAGTATCATCTAAGTGTTTTAGATCTTGATTTGGCTTTCATGACTGATAGGCTTGTTGTTATTGATTTTAACAGTATTAAACAAAATTCTTTTTATAATGCTTATGGCATATCAAATAGATTAAGTTTAATGTTCATATGAATGACAGTAGCAAACAACATTAAGTCAACAATTCCTAAAATCGATAATGCTAAGGAATTTTTGAAGTTTGTGAAAGATACGTCTTAATTTGATTTTGTTCATAAGTCACTTGTTAGGACATTAATGTGTATGTTAATTATCATGAAATTTGATGGTTATTGTATCATACATAAGTATGCCACTGAAATGTCAAACATAACAACAAGATTAAGATCCACGGGAATGGAAGTGAGTAAAAATTTTCTTATACAATTTATTATAAATTTTTTGCCTCCTAAGTATGGTCCATTCCAAATAAATTATAACAGTATAAATGATAAATGGCATGCAACTGAACTACAAAGTATGCTTATTCAAAATGAGGCGAGGCTTATGAAGCAAGGAATTCACTCAATTAATCTTATGGGTCAACTAGGAGCTAAAAAAAAAACTAGTAAAGAAAAATGGAAAGGGTAATAAAAGACCACTAAAGATTAATGTGTCATCTGTCCAAATCCATAAGAAGGAACAAAAGAAAGATAAGTGTAATTTCTATAAAAAGTCTAGAGATTATCAGAAAGATTGCTTAAAATGTAAGGCATGGTTCTTAAAGAAAGGTAAGCTTAGTGCTTTTGTATGTTTTGAATCAAATTTGGTAAAAGTTTCATATAATACTTGGTGGATTGATTCTAGTTGTATCATTAATATTTTAAATGCGATGCAAGAATTCTTTACAATCCAAACCATAAATCCAAATGAAAATTTTGTTTTTATGGGAAACTGAGTCAAAGCACCAGTTGAAGTCATTGAAACCTACTGTTTAATTTTAAACACTGGACACCATTTAGATCTTTTTCAAACTCTTTATGTTTCATTTGTTTCTCGAAATCTAGTTTCTTTGTCTAAATTTGATACATTTAAATATTTCTTTAAGTTTGGAAATTGATGTTTCAGTTTATTTAAACATAATCATTTTATTGGCTTTGGTATTTTATGTGATGGTTTATACAAATTAAATCTTGATAATCATTTTACTGAGACCTTGTTGACTTGGCATGATAATGTTGGTACTAAACTTGGTTTAATAAATGAAAATTCAATTTACTTGTGGCATAAATGTTTGGGCCATATATCCAAAGAAAGAATACAAAGATTAGTAAAGAATGAAATCTTTCATAATTTGGATTTTACTGATCTTAGTATTTGTGTGGATTGTATTAAAAGAAAACACACAAAACACACAATTAAGAAAGCAGCTACAAGAAGCACATAGCTTCTTAAGATTATATACAATGATATTTGTGGACCTTTTAATGTTCTATCATTTGGTGAAGAAAAGCATTTTATTACCTTTATTGACAATTTTTTACGTAATGATTATATTTACTTATTGCATAAAAAATCTTAATCAATAAATATTTTAGAGGTATTTATTAATGAGGTTGAAAAACAATTAGACAGTAAGGTAGAAATTATCAAATTTGACAAAAATGGTGAATATTATGAAAGTATGATGAAAATGGACAATGTCTTGGTTTATATGCTAAATTCCTTGAAAAGCATGGCATATGTGCTTAATACACAATGCCAGGTACACTATAACAAAATGATGTTATAGAAAGACGTAGCTATATTTTAATGGACATGGTTAGGAGTATGTTAAGTAATTCATCTTTACTCTTATCGTTGTGGATTTATACTTTAAAAACTATCATATATTTGTTAAATAGGGTTCCTAATAAGGCAATTCTAAAGACTCATTTTGAACTATGGAAGGAAAAAAACCCAATTTAAGGCACTTGAAATATTGGGGTTGCCCGACAAAAGTAAGAATATATAATTTACATGAAAAAAATTTTGATTAAAAAATAATCAATGATTTTTTCATTGATTATCCAAAAAAATCTAAAGGGTATAGATTTTACTATCTTAGTCATAATACAAGAATTGTTAAAACTAGAAATGCTAGGTTCATTGAAAATGGTGAAACAAGTGAGAGTGTGGAATCACTCAAGGTGGAACTTCAAGAAGTTGAGGTGCAAATCATTTTACTTATAACTTCTTTTCAAATTGTTGTTCTTACAATTGTTAAATAGTTTAACAATTTACAAGAACAATAAATAAATGATCAAACACCCCATAATGAAATTATTTCCAATGAACTTGCAGTAGATGAACCATATGAGGTAGTATTAAGAAGGTCTCAAAAGCAAAAGAGATCTACTATTTTTTATGAATATATAGTTTATCTACAAGAGTCAGAATTTGACTTAGAAATTGATGAAGATCCGATTTCATTTTCTTAAGCCAAAGAAGTATTAATTCTAGCAAATGTTTAAATGTCATGAAAGAAGAGTTGAAATCAATAGATCATAATAATGTTTGAGATCTTGTTAAATACCTAAAAGTTGTAAAAGAGTTAGGTGTAAATGGGCCTTCAAGACGAAATGCAACTCAAATGGCAATATTGAACGATACAAGTTAAACTTGTTGTCAAAGGCTTTACTTAAAAAGATGGTATTATTGACTATAAAGAGATATTTACTTTAAAAGATGGTATTGACTATAAAGAGATATTTTCTCCGGTTTCTAAAAAGACTCATTTAGAATTATTATGACAATAGTGGTTTATTATGACTTAGAGCTACATCAAATGGATGTAAAGATAGCTTTTTTGAATGAGAATTTAGAGGAAAAAGTTTACATGAACCTACCTGATGGTTTTTCAATTAAAGAAAAAAACACATGGTGTGTAAACTTAAGAAGTCAATATATATACTTAAAGTAGCTTTTTGACAACAATATCTTAAGTTAAATGATATTATTACTTCATTTGGATTTAAAAAAATACTATGGATCGGTGTATATATCTAAAGGTCAGTGGGAGTAAGTTTGTATTTTTTATTTTGTATGATGATATTTTACTTGCTACTAATGA